AAAAGTACTCTAAACTGTATAAATAATGTAAAATTAAATTGAATTTATTAGCCAATCAGACGAACTTCTGCCTATGAATTCTCATTTATTGCTGTTTAAAGAGAGTCTTTGATGTCTTTTAAAATTATGTCTATCGTTATAGTAAATTACTATATACAGTATATTATTGCTAGTCTGATTGTGGTACGTAATCGAAAATAAAAATTTTCGTTATATATATTAAAAACAAAAAAAAAGCCTTTACTTTTTTTCGTAATAACTGATATTTTTAATTCTATAAATGGAAAAAAAGTATTATACGTATGTAAGCGTTGCCAAGAAAAAAAACTAAAATTTTAGGCTTTCGAGTTCATCATTTTTATTTATGATTTATCTGATGGTAACGTAGATGATACGTATGTAGAATTTTTGTAGATCTACCCGTGATTTCCCGTGATAATTAACCATCATTTTTAATTAATATTACAATACTAAAAACGAAAAAAACTTCGTATAAAGAAGCTTACAGACAATAAATATACGCAAAAAAAAGTTAATTATTTATATTTAAAGAATAGATAGATTAATAAATCCAACACATTACATTAAAGATTCGATAAAAAACCTTAACTATTAATTTACGGTTGACAAACCCAAACACAATATAATAACCGACCAAATTTAATCTTAAACCCGGGTCTTTTAGCACCTACACAAATTAACAGTTAGGATAAAAGTTTAGTTAACGTTAATAAAATAGTTTTAGACGAAAACGTTTCCAGTTACCTTCACTATACAGTATAATTTGGCCTGGTCCAATAAACGGTAGGCATATATTGTCTTCTAAGTAAAGTTCATAAGGATACTGATTATTACTGATTATTTTTACATAGTAAATATAGACGTCCTATCGAAGCGAAAAATGGGTTTTGCGATGATTTTTGATTGGCGAAACGTTATGTTCCCAAAAAGTACATAAATAAGTTACCCAGGCAATTGATTTACATCAGCCAATCAGACGAATGTCCTATGAGACGACCCCCAAACTAAATTCGGTCAATTATATTAAGCCGATATGCGTCTATGATTTGAGTGCTCAATTTCTATTTAAAGCATGTCTCAATATGCTACGTACCGAAAATTTTTCCCATACATTCTAAAATAGGTGATTTCTTATACGTAATGAATGATTTTACATGTTTTCTCGACAAAACGTTCCTAGCAGAAAGGAGCTATTGGCTTGATATATAAAATATGCAAAAATGTTTATTTTTTTTTCCCGAATGTTTATTTTTAAAAATGACTGAAAGTGAAATTATTACCGTTTTGGTGAGATATTCTACAACAATGCTAGGGAATATCCTTGAGTGGGATCTCATCGAGGAATTAAAAATGATCGGCTTCAAAAAAGTCGATCGTTTTACAGGAGCTGGTATGGAATTTATACATACAGGGTGAGTTTCTCATTGAGTGTTTGTTGAGTTATCGTATATCTGAAGCTACGCTGCCACATCGGTGTAAAACATCTGAGAGAGAATTGAAAGCGCATCATGGCCAACTGTTTTAACAGTTGAATGTTCTTCTTTCTCAGTTTCTCGATGTTCCTGAAAAGATGATAGACGCTGTCAGGAGTTAATAATTATTAATGGTGAATAGGATATACACTAATTATCGAAGGCACTCACCGTAGAATATTCCGGCGTGTATTCTTTAATTGTTAATAGTGATGACACATTTACTCACTTATTATTAATTGATAGGGGGCGGAGCGATGGAGGGGTAGACATAATTTGTGAGCTCGGAGGGATCAAAATGATCAGGATCTTGATTCAATGCAAGAATTGGAGTCACCCAATAGGTTTTTTTTAAAAAATATTAATATTTATTTAAAAAAAGAACGTATGGACTTCACTGCAAAAGGAGGAAACGGGTCAAAAAATTTTTTCTTAAAAAAATCAATATTTTGAAGCATTAGATCGATTAGAATAAAATGATTATAAAATTAAAAAATATAATTTTTTGGCCATCCTCTTCTTTTGTTGTGGAAAGTCTCATATATTGAATTATATTTAATATAGGGCCCTCAATCGTTCGAGAACTTAAAGGCGTAGTGTGTGAAGAAAAAGAAGGTACAATTGGTATAATAGTGGCCCCCAAATTTACTTTTACAAATGAAGCGGTTGATTTAGCTCAGGAGTCCAAATATAATATCATCTTAACCGACACAACCCATATTTCTAAAATTTTCCTTCATCTCGCTCTTGATTCTTTACAAAATAGATCTTTTGAATTTTCCTTCTATTACGACTTTGTTACTCATCCTTTACCATTAATTTCGAATAGATAGTTTCTTACTCTTATCATTCTTTTATCATTTATTTTTTAATATGTATACTTTGAATTATAAAAGCTGACCTGATGGTTCGATTTAATATACATAATCAGTTTACTTTTGCATGTATATTTATAGAATTTAATATTTTAATACAAATATTACATGTTACATAATGCTACTACTATTCATGGTTGAAAATTTTTATCAAAAAGATAGGCGTAAAATTTTTTCACGTAGTTACATGTTTTCGGATTTTTTTTTTTTATTCATTTTGTAAAAATAATGTTACGTAGTTTTTCGATCATGAGGTTTAACTCTAATTTCACTAGCAAAACCGACTGGAGTATCGTGTAGGCACTTCTACCGAATGACAGTTTTTTATGTGCAAAGAACTTAGACAAGTCTCCTTAACTATCTAATTGTTACCTTCATTACTATTTGATTGCATTATTCGATATGCAATTTGATCGCGCTACGCTAAATCACTGATAACCCATGATTAAACCGTTAACCCAGGCACCACGAATTCCTGGGTACTGAAATCCATCGTGACATGAGTCAGAACCCTAACCCCTGTGACCATGGCCAATTAGATTAGAGGATCAGGTGTAACGTGAACATCACGTCTTTTTAAAAAATCGCTATTAACTCGAAATTTTACCTATGAAACTGCCTTCTGCGTTTTAATAAAAAAAGTTCTTTGTGAAATTTTAGTGTAAGCTATGACCTTTTTATTTTTAATCCTAACTCTAAATATGATGATTATTACTTTAAAATCTTTCACTTAATTCGATTGTTTTGATTTTACATTACACCTGATTCTTCGATCTAATTGGCCAAAAATCATGTGCCAGAAAAATCTTGTGAGTAAGCTACTAATGTCCAGAACCTTTGAAGTTTCAACCACAATACTTTCAATTACCAGTAATTAAAAACACAAAGTTTTGCAAAAAATGTTACTTACACATTGCTCAAATCATTTATAATAAAGTTATCCATTATAACTAAAAATTGTTTTGCTTATTAGATTTAGGTTTGTCTTGAAATTTTCATCTTTCATTTGATTTGATTTCTCTTTATTCAATATAGAACAGTTTTATTTTCTTTCTTTATAATCAACATTGTCATTTTTCATCAATTTACTTTTAACACATCTAAAATGTACAAATTCATCTTTTTTTCATTATTGTTTTTTTTTATCACATAATTACTATTTCAAAATTTTCATAAATAGTAGGCTCTTCTGAAATTATAAATATCGATTTACCATGATCAGATCAGATATCATATCAAGAATGACATCAAAGGTCAGTTTTTGCTTTATATAGAATTTTTGAACTATTTTAACACTATTTATGTTAACTTTAGCAACAAATATATCTGACAAATTTATCAATAATTCTCTTATTTAAATGTTTTAAGGTAATTTTTTTCTCAATTACATATTTCATGTTCATTATATTTAAACATGAAATAATTCTAATTGATGTTTTTACAGATTTATCATACTGTTGCTAATAAAAGATTGATAATAAAATTGTTAAAAAAATAGACTAAAAAAGATTCTAAAATGGTGAAGTCTTAAGTTGGTAATATATGCAAAAATCAATATAAAGATATAAATGTAATATTTAAAATTAAGAATAATGTAATAAAAAAGAATTTACTAGAAAAATAGAATGTTCTTTGTAATTATGTAGTTTCAAATTGTATTATTTTTTTTGTATATCAAATAATTGGTTTTTTTTTTTTTTTGTTAAAGGTTATACTTGTGGTGATACTTTATTGACTTTATATTGGGTTAGCTTAGAGGTCTGATCCGATAAATGTTATATTCGAATATTCATTAAATATTTGAATATTCAAATAAATAAATTTTCACTGAATTAAATATTCGAATATTGAATTTATTCATCAAATAATTCATTGAATATTCAGTGAATATATATAATTAAAATTTATTTAATTGATCAATTAAAATGCAAAATTTAATATAATAATTTTAATATATTTTTTTATTAGTTACAAATAAAATATTAATTTATTTATAAATTTTTATTAGTTTATTTAATATATTTTTATTTTAAATTAATTAAATTATTGTTTAAAATATAATGAAGATGTTTATACTTTTATTTATTTTATGCAATATTTGTTAAAGATAACTAATAAATATTTTTAATTTGATTATATTATATGTTTTTATATATTTATAAATAAACAATTTATTTGTCAAATAAATTAATAATGTAATAAAAAATTAGTTGTTCTAATCAGTTATGTTAACTAATTACTTTAGATATTTATTAACTTTTAATATATTAGTTAATTATAAAATTATTTATTAATTAATATAGATTTTTATAAATTAAAATATAAACTTATTAGTATTAAAATAGATTGTATTTTTGCATATTTTTAAAATTTCAAATTAGTTTAAAATTTTTTAATTTTATATCATAGTTATTAACTAGCTATTTAATTATAATATTAATAAAGTACAAAATTATTTTTTACTATATTAAACATTTAATAAATATTCAATAAATATTCGAATATTCATTTAAAATTTTTGAATAAATATTTGAATATTAAAAATATTGAACAAATGAATATTCAAATACAAAAATTTTGAACGAGTAAGACCTCTAGGTTAGCTATTACAACTATTTTTACAAAGATGAGAGTACAGCTAGTCACACGTGCAACTTTTGGTTGCCTATTTAAGTAGTCTGCCCTAAGGTTCTACACTAGATGCCATACCTATAACCTACTAAAAGATTATCTATTTAAACCTTCTGATCATCCGCTCTGTCATATTGGAATCCCCAACTAATCCCCCATATATACCTAACTGGTATACCATTTGAGCAGTATGGTACCTACTCTTTTTGTACTGGTTCTCAGGCCATTACACATTTTAGAGTACATCACCTGCCAGTAAGGTGCAGGAGGTCTCCTGTTGTTAACTATCTACCCACTTTTAAAACACTAATACAGACTACCCTTGCAGAGTTCACCCAGATCCCAGTACTGATTTCACAGCATATCTCTAGTACTTTTAGTATACTTCTGCTTTAAACCAAGACTCCCAATTCAGATAGCCTAGAAGGACTGTAACTTGTCCTTGGTATATTGAGGCCGGCCCAATATCCTTTTTCTCCAGTCTGAAATCTGACAGCCTGGTTGGTGGTACTTCTTACCTGAGGTTCTTGCCCACCCGAATCCTTCACATTGGTATCCATTTCCTAGGTCTAGCCTTTACAGTAGTACCATTGAAGATCTGTATTACCTCTTTGCTCAGAATTTCCAAGTGGGCTCCAGCTTCCCAGTTCTACAGATTTACACAGCCTGAGGACTTATTTTAGGTTTGCACTGCCTGGTACCAGTTTGCATTCCTCTGTATAATAGGTTACACAAATGCCTCAGACCTGCTAGTCATGCTAGTGTGACCATAGTTACAGGTATTCTATTCTAACTGATCGACAGAATGCTATTGCTGTAATACCGTCTATATTATATAGGTGATTATCCAAATTTCACTGTCAGTGGGTTTTGAACTCACAACCAACTACTTGGGAGTATGACAACTTATTCACTTTACTAAGTCATCACATCCTCAAATAATTGTTTTTATTTTTTTGTTTTATTTGTTAAAAAACTGCATACATTAGCAGAATAAATATGCAAAATATTGTGAAAGATTTTATATATTGAAAAACATTTAAAATAACTGCAAATAATATAAAATTATTTTGAAATAAAATAATTTTACTATGTTGCAAAATTATTAATTATTTTGTAATAATTTAAAAATATATTAAAATTATATATAAACTTAATAGTAAAATTTTTTTATATTTAACTTTATAAAAAATTTTTTTTTTTTTTTTTTCAGTATTAAGGTGACCTCTTTGGTCCGAGCTTTTTATTAATACTTATAGCGGGTATATGTTTTATA